TGCCCCAGGTGCTGGTGAGTCTGCTCTCTCAGGTACTACGTCGGCTCAGGCCTTACAAACCTTCACCCTTGACTCGGGTGCTTCCCACTCCTTCTTTCGAGACCGCACCACACTTACGCCGCTTAGTCGGCCGGTTGCGGTCTCCCTGGCGGACCCCTCTGGGCGTCCTGTCCTTGCTCACTTCTCCACTGTCTTACCGTGCCCGGCAGCCCCCTCTGGCACCTTGTCAGGTCTCTACCTCCCCTCGTTCTCTACAAACTTGGTGAGTGGAGCTCATCTACAGGATAGGGGGGTTGACCAGTTCACTCCTGCGAGTCAGCGGGTGACCCACTGCACGTGTGCTCGGACAGGCCGACACTTGGCCACGTTCACCCGTCGGCCGGGGCCGAGCCTGTACACACTGACTACTGAGTCTCCTCCGACTACTGAGTCTGATCAGGTAGCTGCGTCGAGTCAGGTGTTTGCTGCAGCGTCCAGGTCTTGTCCTGAGTCTGCTCCCTGCTCGTGTCGTCTCCTGTCCCACCAGATTCTCCTTTGGCACCACCGCCTTGGTCACCCCTCCCTGCCTCGTCTCCGAGGCATGGCCTCCCGTGTCCTTGTCTCTGGTCTCCCCCGGTCTCTCCCTCCCCTACCTCCGGGGCCTGCCCCTACCTGCGTCCCCTGCGTCGAGGGGCGACAGCACGCCGCCCCTCACTCCTCCGAGTTTCCTCCGACAGAGGCTCCGCTGCAGACTCTTCACATGGACGTGTGGGGCCCTGCCCGCGTCCGTGGCCAGGGGCACGAGCATTACTTCCTGTTGGTGGTTGACGACTACTCGCGTTACACTACAGTCTTCCCCTTGCGCAGCAAGGATGACGTCACTGAGGTGTTGATCGACTGGATCCGCGCAGCTCGTCTCCAGCTCAGAGAGAGTTTCGGCTCGGACTTTCCTGTTCTGCGTCTGCACTCTGACAGAGGCAGAAGTTTTCCTCTGCCCGTCTGGGAGCCTTCTGTCGAGCACAGGGCATCCGCCAGACCTTCACGCTTCCGGCCTCTCCACAGCAAAATGGGATTGCTGAGCGCCGCATTGGCATGGTCATGGACGTCGCTCGTACGTCTATGATCCGTGCAGCTGCCCCCCATTTTCTGTGGCCGTTTGCGGTTCAGTAAGCGGCGCATCAGATCAACCTTCAGCCCCGGGTCTCCTTGCCACAGACCTCCCCCACCTTGCGGTGGACGGGGAAGGTTGGCGATGCGTCTGCGTTTCGGGTCTGGGGACCTCGGGCGTTTGTCCGCGACTTGTCTGCGGACAAGCTGTCCCCCCGTGCTGTTCCCTGCGTCTTCCTTGGCTTCCCCCCTGACGCGCCTGGGTGGCAGTTTTACCACCCCACCTCGCGCCGTGTTCTGTCCTCCCAGGACGTCACCTTTGACAAGTCGGTGCCTTACTTCCGTCTCTTCCCCTACCGCACTCCGCCCCTCCCCTCGCCGCCGCTCTTCCTTGCGCCAAGTCCTCCCCCGGTAGACCCCCTCCCCCCTCAGGGTCCTGCCCCGTCAGGTGTGTCCCAGGTAGACGCGATCGAGCCTGTCGAGGTAGCTGTTGACTCTGGTGCTGCTAGAGGTGCTGAGCCTGCGGGTGCCGGGTCTGAGGGTGCGGAGCCTGGGGGTGCCGAGTCCAGGGGTGCGGAGCCTGGGGGTGCTGAGCCTGGGGGTGCTGAGCCTGGGGGTGCTGAGCCTGGGGGTGCTGAGCCTGGGGGTGCGGAGCCTGGGGGTGCTGGGTCTGCTCGTGTGGCCTCTAGCGGTGCTTCGTCGAGGCGGGAGCCACTCTCTCCACAGGAGGTGCGCGAGTGGTTTGCCCGGCGCTGGAGCCGTGCTGTTGGAGTTGGAGGTACTACTGTTGCTGCTGGTCCCGGAGGTGCTCGTCCTGGCGGTTCTGGAGCTGCTGGGACTGGGGGTGCTGCTGGGGCTGCTGGAGGTACTGCTGGAGCTGCTGGCGGTACTGGAGCTGCCGGTCCTGCTGGAGTTGGTGCTGCTGGAGCTGCAAGAGCTAGAGCTGCTGGGGGTGTTGGCGCTGGTGGTGCTGCTGGCGCTGGTACGTCTGAGGGTGCTGGAGTTGGCGATGTTAGAGCTAAAGGTGCCGCTGGCGCTGGTGCTGCCGCTGGGGGTACTGGTGCTGTCTCTGCTGGTTCTGGAGGCGCTGCGCGGCCGCGGCCGTACTTCGTTCCGCTCCTTGAGCAGGTTCTTGGTCTCCCGCCCACTACTCGTCCTGCTCCTCCCTTAGAGTGTCCACAACCTGTCCAGTGGCAGTCACAGCTACAGCCCGCCTCCCCATTGCCGTCTCCTCCACAGTCCTCTCTTCCTGTTCTTGCTGACCCGGAGTCAGAATCTCTTCGTGCTGCCAGTCCTATTGTCACGCGTCTCCTGGCTACTGTTGCCACTGACCCTTCCTTTGAGTCCACTGCTGCGTCGGCCCTAGTTGCTGAGCTTGTCGACTTTGCTGCTCGCTGTCGTCTAGACTACGCTGCTATTCTTGTTGCTGAGTCTGAGTCTGTCTATTCTCCATCCGTCAAGGGTGAGTGTGCTCTTAGCACGGACGTCCTTGAGGACAGGCAGGAGGAGTTCCAGTGTTTTGTTGCTGCTTTGCCTCATCTCGTGTCCACGGTGATTGCCCCTGAGGGAGACCAGATTGCACCAGACATCCCGACTCCTCGATTGTACGCTGAGGCTATCGAGGGTCCCTACTCCTCTCAGTGGCAGTCACCCATGGATGCAGAGATGGCTTCCTGGAAGTCCACAGGCACCTACCTCAACGAGGTTCCCCCACCTGGGGCGAACATCGTCAGTGGCATGTGGATTTTCAGGGTGAAGCGGCCGTCGGGTTCTCCGCCTGTCTTCAAGGCGCGTTACGTGGCTCGAGGCTTTAGTCAGCGGCAGGGAGTTGACTACTTTCAGACCTTCTCTCCCACCCCAAAGATGACCACTCTTCGAGTACTGCTGCACATGGCCGCTCAGCGCGACTACGAGCTTCACTCTCTTGACTTCAGCACAGCTTTCCTGCAGGGCAGCCTGCACGAGGAGATCTCGCTGCGCCGCCCACCTGGCTTCACTGGGTCGTTTCCTCATGGTACCCAGTGGAGCCTCCGGCGGCCAGTCTACGGTCTCCGCCAGGCGCCCCATGAGTGGCACGACACACTGAGGACTACACTTGCGGCTCTTGGGTTAGCTCCTTCTACAACCGACCCGTCGCTGTTTCTGCGCACCGACACCTCTTTGCCGCCGTTCTACATCCTCGTGTACGTCGACGACTTGGTCTTCGCCACAACTTACACTGCTGGACTCGCCCACGTGAAGTCCGAGCTGCAGAAGAGACACACGTGCACAGACTTGGGTGAGCTGCGCAGCTACCTTGGCTTGCAGATCACCCGGGACTGAGCACAGCGCACCATTACCCTGACCCAGTCACACATGGTGCAGCAGGTCCTTCAGCGCTTCGACTTCACGTACTCCTCGCCTCAGGCCACTCCTCTGTCTACTCGCCACTCGCTCTCAGCTCTGCCTTCGGATGAGTCCGTAGAGCTGAGTGGCCCGTACCCACAGCTTGTTGGCTGCCTCATGTACCTGATGACCTGCACACGACCTGACCTTGCATACCCTCTTAGCATCTTGGCACGCTATGTTGCTCCTTGGAGACACCAACCAGAGCACATGGCTGCAGCGAAAAGGGTGTTGCGCTACTTGTGCAGTACGTCGGGCATGGTGCTAGTGCTTGGAGAACGACGTCGAGTGGTCCTCACAGGTCATGCAGACGCTTCTTGGGCTGACGACCAGGCTACGCAACGGTCGTCACAGGGTTACACCTTCAGCCTTGGCTCCGGCTCTATTTTGTGGCGGTCTACTCGCTCGTCTTGTGTTCTCGGCTCCACCTGTGAGGCTGAGATCTACGCGGGGGCCATGGCTGCACAAGAGCTACGCTGGCTTACCTACCTGCTCACTGACCTAGGAGAGCCGCCTCGTTCTTCTCCAATTGTGTACGTAGACAACAAGGCCATGCTGGCCTTGTGTTGGGAGCACAGACTGGAGCACAGAACGAAGCACATTGCTCTCCGCTACTTCCTTGCTCGTGAGCTGCAGCAGCGTGGTCAGCTCCGCCTCACCTACGTGGCCTCTGAGGCCAACACTGCTGATATCTTTACCAAGGCACTTCCGCCTGGTGATCATCAGCGCTTCTGTATGATGCAAGGTCTTTTGCCTACTTGGCCTCACTTGCTCATTTCTTGACCTTGCTTGTACTGTGATCTTTCTATACCTGCACTTGCTTGTCTACCTTTATATATGATCTTGCATGTGAACTGGCCTTGTGGCCTTGCTCTTGTGCTTGGATTGTGTGGTGACGTTGTGATCCACCCTGAGCTTGCTTTGCTTTGCTTGACTGGTCTTGTGACCTTTTGTTCTCCCCCACTTTGCCTATGGGGGTGTGTCAAACTCATATGCTATAGTCTCTATAGGCTGTAGTGGGGTAGACAATATGGGGTACAACACTTTTATGTTTTCCTACTTGTACCCACCTGCTTGCTAGTTCATTTCATTCCTCATTTCTTCACATGCTCCTGCATGTTTGCGGCTGTGGCGCACGCAATGGCACACGCCTTGCACCACCGGGGCTCCGCCCTGCTCCCCAGTCGTTGCAGACACCACCGCCGCCAGCACTGCCGTCGTTACCGGTGTTGGTGACACGGACAACACCACCTCCTTGGTCTGCTTCGGATCCGCACCCAGCCTCGTCTCCCTAGCCTCCGGTTGTGCAACCCGTGGGGTGGCAGAGGTTGAAGTTGAGCCGCCGCCAAAGGCAGCGGCAGAACCGCCAGTAGGCACCGGGCCGACCGCCGTCTCTGCTGCAGGCAGGGCAGCAGGAGCTACCTCAGGTACCACTGCAACTGCCATCCAGAGTAGCGCAACAGCCACCAGCTCAGTCTGCACTACGTCGTTTTCCCATGCCCCTCCAGCTGCAGCAGCCTCGTCCCTTGATGCCCCACGTTCCTCTGTCACCTCTCCTCCACGCCCCAAACCCTCCGTCAGTACCGGCCTCGCCGTCGTTCCATCGGTACTTGTATGGCGGCCCCCCTGTGCAGCGTCCATGGGAGCTGGTGACGCCTCCCGCCCAGCCTCCTCCCCCTACCGTGGTTCCTGGTGAGCCCCCAACTCGCATCGAGCAGCGCGTGATGCACGTGGGGACTTGCTTGACGCTCCTTTCGAATGTGCTCGACCAGCTTCACGTGACCCTGGTGCGGCAGGAGGTGCAGATCGAGGCGATGCAGCCGGCGGAGCACTCGGCGGCAGTGTCAGTAGCGGAGGAGTTGCAGCATTACCTCTCTCTGATTGGCTTTGTGCCAGGCTCCCCTGGGGCTGCTCTCGGGCTCGGCCCTGGAGCTTTGGCGTGGCTTGCCGAGTCTGCCCGGGGGGACCTGCTCGACCTTATGGCAGCAGCCATGTCCGTCCTACGCTGGCTAGACGGGAGGCTGTGTTGGATCCTTGTTGAGTAGCGCTCGCCTTCCCCTTGCCAGCCCCCTTAGTGGCAGGCCTGGGTTTGGGCTTCCCCATGGTAGTGTTGTCATGCCCGGGGGTGTTGTTGTAGTTGTTGCTGTTCTATGGCTGCATGTTGTACTGCCCCTTGTTATTATGCCAGGCGCTTTTCCCTTGTCACCCCTCATGCGCGGCCGAAGGCCGCGCCGGCGAGCGGTGGCCGCCGGTTTTGGAGAGTGAAACGAACTCGCCAGTGAAGAATGAGCTCACTAGGCATGGATCTAGGGCCTTTATACTAGGGAAACTCTGCCAAAATCGGCTAGGGACCAAGGACTAGGCTAGGGTCGATGAGATGGACGTCTGCATGAATGCTCGTGTCGCTTTGCACCTGGTCGTGCTAACTGTGGTTGCCTGTCGTAGTTTATCCCCGCTTCAAGCATTTAATCTGAACACTTGCGATTCATTCTGACCATGCAAAATCCACCGACCGTATCCAACCAGGGTGAGCTCGTGTCTGACGAATTGGTGGTGGGCATTATCAAGGAAGCGGTCAAGCAGCCGTCCTGCAGCAAGGGTTTCATCCTTGACGGCTTCCCTCGCACGGTCGTGCAGGCAGAGAAGGTGAGTGAAGCCAAATCGTTCTTACCGGTAGCACATATCCGCCCACATTCTCATCACGCTTGCATTTAACAATAGCTTGACTCGAAGGGTCAGAAGATAGGTCAAATGCTCAACTTCTAGGTTTCTATCAACTATTTTACAACAGAGAATCCACGAGGGATGAAACATTTTTTTTCAAACGTGGCTTCTGTGTTTTATGTTTCCAACAGCTTTATGCGATGCTGGAGAAGAAGGGTCAGAAGATCGATAAGGTTCTCAACTTCGACGTTCATGACGCCGTCCTGGAGGAGAGGATCATTGGCAGGTGGATCCACCCTGCCAGCGGACGCTCTTACCACACCAAGTTCGCTCCTCCGAAAGTTCCAGGAAAGGATGATGTGAGTAGATCTCTTGACGAAACTGTAGGGCTGAATAAGGTTTATTTAACCACCAACAAAAGAGAAACTGTGTGGAATGATAGGGACGTCTCTCTCTCTCTCTCTCTCTCTCTCTCTCTCTCTCTCTCTCTCTCTCTCTCTCTCTCTCTCTCTCTCTCTCTCTCTCTCTCAAATGGTCCTTTCTATTGATTCAGCAGGGGGTACAGACATGCAGTTTGACTCGTGGTATCTTTATACCTTCCGACCCATCAACCCATCCCTCTGACCCTCCCCCCCCCCCCCCCCCCCTCAGTGCCCCTCTACCCCTCCAGCGTGTGGAGGATGTCCCCTAGGTGCAGCGGCCAGGGGTCCGCCGCCATTTGGGGGTGCGCTGCTTCAAGTATATTGCATTCGGTGGTGAGTACATTGCATTCTCCAGGTATACCACCAGTTGCGCCTCCCTCGCCATTTTTGCCACAGCAAAGGCCAGCTGATTGTGTGTGCGCGCTCTGTCCGGGCCTGTGCTGCAGCGGAGTAGGTGGTTGGGTAGGCTGCAGTCGGCCACGAGCTCTCCACACTCGCACACGGTAGGTACGTTCTGTCGGATGCCCATGCGGAAGGCCAGGGCTGTTCGGAATTGCCCTGGTGAGAAGCAGAGGTCTGGGGTCAGGGGTAGGGCTTGCAGCCATGCTCCCGCTCCCTCGCCTCTCAGGCTGACGAGGCGGAGCGTGTGGCCTATCTCGGGGGCTGACCTGATTGAGCGTGATTCCTCTGTCAGGGTGTCGGCCTTTGCCGCGTGCACTTCCTGAGAGAGGGCCCGCTGCAGCTGGTCTTGGGACGGGGTTTCTTGCTCCTCACGGAGGTATTGCAGCGCCAGCGGCAGCAGTCGTCCCTCCATATCTTGGATGGTGACCGAGTGTGACGCAGATGGCTGCAGGGCATTGCTGTTGCTCCCTAGCGCCGCGGTTGCTGGCAGGTCGAGTGAGCAGAGCAGGCGTAGTGCCTCTGACGTTGAGGCCAGGTAGGCTGGTGCTGCTTCTATTGTGGGATCCGTGAGGCCCAGTCCACCTAGGGCCACTGGGAGGGTTGCTTGGCAGATGAGAAAATTGAAATCGGCTTTGCGGCGGGGTGGTTGGATGCTGGCGGCAGTCAGGGCGATGTTGAGCAGTTCGGCGCACCACTCGTGCCATTCCGAGAGGGGAAGGACATCCGCTGGGGTGGTGCGCAGCAAGTAGCCGATTGTGCGGCTGATGCAGCGGGACAGGAGTAGGAGGGCATGCTGTGGATGGATGGATGCTAGGGAGCCCAAGGGTGCCGCCGCGTCTGTCAGAGTACTGCAGACCAGGTCAGCGTAGAAGCCCTGTGACCCCACGGGACTTCCCAACACCCGTACCCCCTCGTGGGTGAGTGGGAGGCCCTCGGGGAGCTCGTCACCCTCAAGCGGTGTCGTGGACCACGCCGACGATTTTCTGAGGTTGCAGGTGAGGCCATCCTGGGCGAGCAGCGGCGATAGTAACTTAAGCGCGCCGAGCGTTGCTGTCGCCGGCCCGATCATGGTGATGTCATCTGCGTATGCTAGGATTGTGACTTCTGGGTGCTCTGCTGCTGTGCGTCTGAGGTGCTGCTGGATTGATGCCGCGAACAGCAGGGGTCCGAGGGGGTCCCCCTGCCTCACCCCTCTTCCGCTGGTAAGTGCCATCGTGCTCAAGCGGGGATCGGTCAGCAGCTGAGAAGGCGTTGCGTAGAAGGAGCGGGTGAAAGGTATGAGCGGTGTTAGCGGGGTGTTGGTGAATGCGTTGAAGAACGCTTTCCTCTCTACGGAGTTGAAAGTGTTTTCAATGTCGAGTTGGAGGACTAGGCTGGAAGGTTGTGAAGTGGTGAGGTCTCTGACTACATGTATAACGAACTCAGCTCCGCCTGGGACTGCCACACCGAATTGTTGGGGTAAGAAAAATAGCCTTGTTTCTCCTTGCAGTTCCAAGAGTGCCACCTTTGCTGCCAACCGGAGTAGGGATTCCCCTATTGCGATAGGGCGTACCCCCCCCCCCCCTGGTTTCGCGAAGGCGATGAGGCGGGATGGCGAGAGTAGTGCTGCAACCTCGGTGGAAAGATTCGTGGAGAGAAGATGTGCTACGGCGGAGTGTAGGTGCCCCAGCACTTCGATGTTGCTTAGGGCTGGGTCGCGGTAGTGTTCAAATGTTGACCCGGATGGACCAGCCCCAACTCCGCTGGGGCAATCCCCAAGGACGTCTGAGAAACTTTCCGCGGTGCACGAAAATTGCGTGGGTGTTGTGTAGGTGTGGACCCAGTCGGGCAGCTCAACTTGGGGTTGGGGATGTTTCAGTTCCAACTGCTGCAATATTGCGATCGTCGCAGGGGCCGCTGACGAGGGTGAAAGGGCTGCCAACGCTTTTCACAGGTTACCTCGTTTCACCAGCCCCTCCACACGTGAGCACATCCCCAGGGGGTCGTTTTGGTGCTGAGGTGGCTCAGCTTGGTGCAGGGACCCCATGTAGTCACTGTAGAGCTAGTTCCAGTGACCACATCTGAATAGGTGCATCTGCTCTCTCTCTCTCTCTCTCTCTCTCTCTCTCTCTCTCTCTCTCTCTCTCTCTCTCTCTCTCTTTCTCTCTCTCTCTCTCTCTCTCTCTCTCTCTCTTTCTCTCTCTCTCTCTCTCTCTCTCTCTCTCTCTCTCTCTCTCTCTCTCTCTCTCTCTCTCTCTCTCTCTCTCTCTCAAGCGGTCCTTGTATTGATATAACGGGTGAGTACAAACGATCAAGGCAGCATAGAAATAGGCAACACCAGAGACTAAAAGAACAACCTAGCAGCAAACCAGATCCTAAGAACAACCTACAACCCCACCCACCAACCACCACCCCCCCCCCCCCCCCCCCCCCCCACTGGAAGCTCCTAAGGGAGCTCAGTAGTAGGTTCGAGCACCACAAAACAGTCCCCCAGGGACATATCCTCGCCAGGGGCCCCGACAAGAGGGTTCTGGGCCTCTACTGCCATGTTGCACTTGGCCATGTAACTTACGGCCTGCGCGCGCTGAAGGGCGACCGACCATCTCTGGCGGAACTGGTTGAGTAGTTTTGCCGCCTGGTAGGTTGAAGGGTCGGCGTTGAAGAGCTTGCGTGCAGCCGTGTGAGCCAAGAGCTTGAGGAAAGCGGGGACCTCTGCGCATGGGCAGCCATAAGTCTCGACTGCGAGGGGTACGAATGAGACGTAGGCTGCCGGGGAGCCGCTGTAGTCTGAGATTTTTTTGTCAGCGGCTTCCCTGGCAGCCCACCCCCTCCCTCTCACCGCATTGGGGTCGCGCATGCTGATGGGGTCAGTGATGGTGACGTCCCCGATCCATACTGCCCCTGAGGACCGATCACGAATGGCTAGGTCCGCTGTCTTCCTAGTGGCCGGGCAGAACTCCGCCGTTTCCTTGTGCACCATGAACCCGGCGTACTGTGCCATCCTAATGCACTCATCCCTCAGCTCGTTGTGAGTATTTGTCCTTCCCCCTCCTGTGGCGCAGCGTAGCAGATGGTTTGGAAGCTGTTTGTCTGGGATGGGAACCTGCTTGGTGCAGTCACAAGCGCCGGGGGCTGAAAATGGTAGTCCTAGCCTGAACTGGAGGGCTGTGGCAAAGTGGGGACCGTCGAGCCTTAGGGAGGGCATGAGCGGGACTGCATGGAGCCAGTCCCCGGCTCCGTACCCTGACAAAGAGAGAAGGCGTTGCGTGTGGCCGCTATTGGGGTTTGGGGACATGCCCCGTGTGTTCTCCACCTGGTTAGCATATCTTCTGCCTTGAACTGCCAAAGCTAGCCCCTGCTGCAGCTTCACACCCGTGGGAGCAGCCCTGTCACTCTGTAGTAGCTCCCCGGCATCACTCGGTAGGTCTGCCTCGCACTGAGCTAGCTAGCGGTAGAGAGTGCAGGAGTTTGTGTACGGTCCCATCATCTGCACCCAAGTCCCCGTCAAGGGCCCTAACTGGCTATCTTCAAGGGTTGAGAGCAGCTGCTGTGCCAGGGTAAAGCTAGCTAGGTAGATGTAGCTGCCCTCGACCGCGGGGTCAGTGATTCCGAGGCCCCCAAGTGATACTGGCAGCGAAGCTTGGGACCATGTACGAGAGATCTCAGCGTCACCCCGCGGATGCCTAATGCCACATGCCGTTAACAGAGTCTAAAACAACTGCCTACCCCAACCGGACCACTCATTCAGAGGCAAATGCATGAGGGGTGTGGTCCAGGTGAGGTAAGAAACTCGTCTTCAGACACACCTGGAGAGTAGCAGGGCAGCCAGCTGAGGTTCCATCCGTGCTATCAGGCCAAGAGGTGCCGCCATGGACCTAAGGTATTACAATTATTATTATTATTGAGAAAACTGAAACAAGAATGAATGCACTAAGGAATGGAATGTGGTACAAATATGCAACCCTAGAAATGTGTACTCCATATAGGCTACCCCACTACAGCCTACATAACATTATGATTTGACACACCCCCATAGGCAAAGTGGGGGAGAACAAGGGGTCACAAGACCAGTCAAGCAAAACAAAGCAAAGCTCAGGGTGGATCACAAAGTCACCACACATTCCGAGCACAAGTTCAAGGCCAGAAGGCCAGTTCACATGCAGGAGCACATACATAAATAAAAGGCTAAACAAGCAAGAGCAGGAGTATATATATGTGACAGTACAAGCAAGGTCAAGAAGTGAGCAAGTGAGGCAAGGCAGGCACAAGACCAAGCTGAGTACAAAAGCGCTGATGATCACAAGGCGCAAGTGCCTTAGTGAAGATATCACTAGTGTTGGCCTCAGAGGCCACGTACGCAAGGCGCAGCTGACCGCACTGCTGCAGCTCACGAGCAAGAAAGTAGCGGAGAGCAATGTGCTTCGTTCTGTGCTCCAGGCACTGCTCCCGACACAAGGCCAGCATGGCCTTGTTGTCTACGTACAGCACTGGAGGAGAACGAGGCGGCTCTCCGAGGTCAGTCAGCAGGTAGGTGAGCCAGCGAAGCTCCTGAGCAGCCATGGCTCCTGCGTAGATCTCAGCCTCACAACTAAAGCCGAGAACAGAAGACGAGCGAGTAGCCCGCCACGAAACAGAGCCGGAACCAAGGCTGAAGGTGTAACCCTGTGACGACCGCTGTGAAGCCTGGTCGTCAGCCCAAGAAGCGTCTGCGTGCCTAGTGAGGACCACTGGAATCTGCCCTCCAAGCACTAGCCCCATGCCCGACATACTGCACAAGTAGCGCAACACCCTCTTCGCTGCAGCTATGTGCTCCGGTCTGTGTCTCCCATGAGCAACATAGCGTGCAAGAATGCTAAGAGGGTATGCAAGGTCAGGTCGTGTGCAGGTC